GACTGTCTTTTAAGACACCGTCCGGTCTTCCCAGCATTCCCCGAGCCAAGACCTGCCCCAGACTCTTCTCTCCTTTCTGCCCTGACTGTCCATTGACTTCAGTTGTAGAGCTGTTGGATGACCCTTTTCTGTGCTGATTGGTTTTCATGTGTCCCTGCCTCTGGTACAATGCAGAGCAGAATCTGTCTTCCGTGTGTATTCTGGCTTTTGCCAGGATAATACCTATGATTTGATAGACACAGTAAATACTTCCTGCCTCACTGACTGAGAGCCTGAATAGCCAAGTCATGAGTATGATGGCTTCTGAAGGTGGGTTTTTAATATTCTTTTCTTTTGTTTTTATAGGAAAGGGTGACTGAGCCAGAAGTTAACAAAACATGAACCTGGTACTGAAAGGGATGCAGGCGATGAAGGTGGTCCAGAGGAGCCAACAGATGAGAAGGAATTGACGTCTGTGGATGGACCAGACAAACCTGACAGGTCCGGTAAGCGAGTGAACATTTATGGAGTTTGCCTTTTCTTATCCCTGTGCTTAAAATCTACGATCAGGCCAGGCTTGGGTATAGCTGATTGGTAGTTGGATGGCATGCTTCAGATGCAGGAGTTCCTGGGGTCAATCCCCAGTACCTCCGCTAAAAGGAAGAAATGAAAATCTAGCGCACAGTATCTGAAGAGTGTAGATCCAGGTACCACATCCATTAGTGTTTGTTTTCCTTTTGCCAGCTGTCTTCCTACATTCCCCAACCACGACCAGGTTTTTCTTTAAGAAAATGCTTCAGCCCTCAGAAATTCTTTTGTGCCCCGTTATTTTATGGAGAGATTCTTGAATGGAGATAGACTTATATGTGTGTGTACAATGGACAGTGGTCAATGTTGTCATTAACGTATGTGTGACTACATTCTCTAGGTGAAACATCACCCTGCTACTCGGGAGAAGCCGAGGACGCACAGTCTCCCAATGAGGAGGTACTGTCTCCTTTTGTTATTTTTCTTCTTCTTTTAATATCTAACCATTGAGGGTC